TATATCTGAACACTTGCCAGTAATAAGCTGCATTTTCATACATTTTCTCTCTAACCTAAAGAATATTCACTAAAGAACGCTCTCTGGTCTGGAACGGATAGATTCCCACAACTAAAATCTAAATAATTATGATTTCTATGCGACTACATATCATGCACATCTCAAGTTACTTTGATTTAAGAGAGAAAACTGATGCGGTAGGCATGAGAATGGAAACCACTGAAAAGGAGAAGCAGAGGGTGTACAGTTAACAGATTGCTTTACCGGTATGTATGGCCCATCGCATGAACAGCGGAGCATCTTTCTCCAGGTCCCAGCCGTGACGGGCGGCGTGCATCCACGGGATCTGGAAGATTCTCTTCTCCTGCAGACATGTTGCATGATGTCAGCTCCAGAAGTACAACATTAATTAAGGTGTGCGCACAGGTGGACACTCACTTTGTTCACCCATTTCAGTCCTGGGATCTGACAGGAGTTAATCTGCTCCTCCAGCCACGGCCGCATCCTCATTCTCTCTACTGGCATCTTGATCTGTGACAAACAAACACACAGTGAGGCATATTTATATTACAGTATACAGACAGATATGTTGACATTTAACAACTCAGCAGTTGGTTTCTCTGAACCTGGTTCCAGATCATGACAAAGACTGCGAGTAGCACAAGCAAAAACACAAATACTGAAACACGTGGCGCGTTGTGAAGTCCGCCACTTGTTATCTAGCCAGTATTTTTCACACAAATATTCATCTTTTGTGAGCAAAACAAAAAAAAAAAAAAGGGGAGATTGTGGAATCCACTTTGTGTACAAGCTGTAAAGATAAAACTCTTGCCCAACTTTGTCCTTTACTGAGCGTCGTAAAGAGCAGATGCCATAAAACATCGCTGAGGAGGACGAAACCGTTTGCGGCCTCGTGTTCTGTGTTTGTTTGAGGAACTCAGATCTCGAATTTGAGCCTAACACTGGATTTAAAAGCAAGAGTTATTAACGCTGCAGCCTGACTCGATCAAAGTCCGGTGGGCCTGACACTCCCTGCTCACTGTGCGGCGTGCCAACAGGATAAACCCCCCTCATGGGTCGAGCGGGGTGAGATGGCACGGCGTCAAGCACAAGATACCATCCTTTTTCTCTCTTTTTTTTTTTTTACGAGCAACAGGGCTGAAACTTCCAGCTGCGTCCGGCTCCCTGCTCGGCACAGACACTACAAGACATGTGTTAGCAGGGAGCAACATGAGTTTAAAAATCAGCCAAATATGACAACTTGCATGTTTGTACAGGTGTGACACAGAGGTGCGTTGTAGGTGGGGTGTTTTTAGGGGTTAAAAGTCATGTGGCTAAGCCATTAACCCAATCTGAACTAATTTTAGACCTGCTATCATAATAGTATGTGGCAATGAGGTTTTTTTTTCTTTTTTTCCAGATTGCACAACCAGGAACCATCCTCGGTTGGAGGGGGAAAAAGTAGATAAAGTGCACTGAAAAGCAGATTAAGAAGACATCCATGACAGCAAAATAAAATTTAAATTATAATTAGAACCCACAGAGCTTCATGACAGTTTGACATTTTACAAGTGATATCATTGTGTAGTAGTAATACAGGAGGATTTCCAGTGTTTAGACATGACTTTTGCCCCACTTCATCACAAACACACAAACATTTATATATTATTCTTCAGTGTACAGGTCACACACACACACAGCAGACTACTCACAGTGCTCTCGTGTTAAATACATGCAGGAACACTTGTTTACAACTTCTCCTCGAGGACAACAACACCGTAAAACAACCGACTGGAAACTAGCAAACCGTGCATTTAGTCGTCTAGTCACACGTCAGGAGCAAAACTCCAGGTTATAGCCGGATTCCCGTCCGCGTTAGCAAACGACATGTTTATTCGTGGAGTTAAAAGTTTGATTCAGGAACGAGGCTCGACTCGAAAGTCTGGTCCGTCCGTCCTGCTGCTCCGCCGGCGACTTGACAGATAACACAAAACAAGCGAAGCCAAAAGTGAAAATAAACCCGCCGGGCTCGTCAACACAACGCCGAGTTAGAAAACGGCAGCGCTACTTTCGCTTAGCGGCGGATCCGTCATGTCGTCCTGCGGGAAGTCGGAGCGCTAACATGCGGAAATAAAGTGTTACCTGCTCGGTGCGGACGGCCCCCGCCGCCTCTCGGTGCTGCAGTCCGGAACGACGAGCTCGGACAAGTTAACCGTGTTCGAGCTCCGAAGTGTGGAGAAGAAGAAGAAGAAGAAGAGGGAGAGAGAGAGAGAGAGAGGGGGGAGAGAAAAAAAAACGGAAACCGAGTCCGTCGTTTATTTCTGTTTCTGCCTCCAACCGAAAGCAAAACAACGACTGCTCCGGGAAGTGGGGGCTCGCGCTGGAAATCCCCCTCTAGCTCTCGCGCTCTCGTCTCCGGGTCGGTGTCGAGCGCGGAAGTCTCTTGGCCGCGTGCGCGCTCCGCAGAGACGTGCTGGGGCGCG